ATAATTAAAAATCAAATTAGACTGAAATGTAGGAAAGTGGTAGTGAGTGTATTCATTGTTATGATGCCGGCATCATTAAAAGAAAAATTGTTTGATAAATAATCAAGAATTAGTAGGCGTGGCTGTGATTTTGAAACACTCCATAATCTGTCTATTTGACAATAAATAACATCACTATGAGTTAAACACCACAAATTCACTTTCATTGTGTTTTTAGTGTCAATTTTTTATTCACTTCAAGTTTCTTCTGTTTGTCTTTACATAACCTGCTTAGTTAAGTAAGTGTTGACGATGACGAAGTTACATTCAAATAGGAATACTGATTGTTAAATTGTTTTGAAAACATGGTAATTGGAGATATTTTTGTTAAGTGCATATGAATAAATGAGCATATTTTGTTAGTGATGATTGGGAGATAAGGACTAATGAAAAGGTGGTTAGAACGTATGTGATTTCAGTATACAGATATTCATTAGGCATGGATTGTAATTTTCACCTCTTATATTCGTTCGAATACTGGCCTTTAAATAAGGGTTTTTTAAAACTTTCTATATCTAACATTATAGTTTTAGCCTTGGTCAACCAGCCTCCTACTCGATTTGATCGTATTTTCTTCATTTTTTTTTCCAATAACTGTATCTTAAGAGCAATGTTTGTTATGTCATATCTCAGCTCGGTGATAAAAACTGACCATAAATATTTATCATTTCATATTATATGTTAGTGTTTGTTGGTTAGATTGACTCTCGTAGTATCAACAAATTTTCACGTTCTTATCCTGTTCGCAGCAATCTGATTTATACGCGTAACCAAATAGACCATATACATAATAATTATTTTCAGCAACCGATAAAGATAAATGATGCCATAGTCAGAGCAAAAAGGTGGATATTTTTATGTAAGATCAACCAAATCAAACGAAATCACACTGGTTAGAGAAGCTCTGGAAGAGGTGAGAACCTTTACATTATTGCATTATTGATGGATCTGATGTAGATGTGAACACATAGATTAGCAAAGCAAGGACAGAACTTTTACAACTGAAGAACATCTGAAACATAAAATAACTGTCAACCAACACCGAAGTCAGAATTTTCAATACAAACCTCAAGACAGTTCTCCAGTTTGCAGCAGAAGGTTTGAGAACTACTAAAAACATCATTTACGAGATACAGGTGTTGAATAACAGTTGCTTAAGCAAGATACTGCGAATCCATTGGCCAAACATTATCAGCAACAACCTACTGTGTGACAGAACAAATCAGATTCCAGATGAGAAAGAAATTAGGAAAACATGCTGGAGACGGATGTGACACACATTGTGGAAATCATCACATTACATTATGGAGTAAAAGGGAGAGAGACCGATATCATAAGGATGAATTTTACTCGGGAATAAATGGAAAGGCGAGCTCAAAACAAAGTTATTTGAAGATTTCCGGTCGGTAGCCTATTTTTCCACGAGTGCTTACAGGCAGACAATGTTAATAGCAGCAGCGAAAACAATAATTTGTTATCATTATCGTTGTTGTTAAGTCAAAAATAAGGAGCTCTAGTTAATGAAGCAATATTCTGTGATGGATAGTTTAACTGCTAAGCATTCATTATCATTCTGACCTTATTTTGGTTGGGTAACAGGACAAGTTGATGCGACGATTGTGACATAACTGATAAAAACTCACTTCCACTTGAAATCGATACTAAACATATAATCAAGCAGGACAAGGAAAACCCAACAATCGAATCGTTCAGCTTAGGTATATACTATCAACACTACCCATTTAAGCTCCGAATTTCATCCTTCACTCTAAGCAAATATATAATTTCGACTTACATCACAATATTAGGAAAGTAAATTCGATAGAAACTGATTGTAACTTGTAATGCTTCAACGAAAAATATGTCATACTATAACAATAACAATTGTTATTATATTTACGTAACAAAGAAATCTTAAAAATCTATGTTAATAAACTCAATAAATTTGAATGATATTCAACCATAAAGTGGTATGCTCGTCACTTGATATGCTTGAAACAGTCACGAGTTCACCTTAGTTGATAAACGAGAACGAGACAATGAACCAGTGTTCAGGTAGGCTACTCTGATCCGTTGACCCAAAGGAACTGACGAAAAAGTCTTGATAAAGCGTAGAAAGTGTAGTCTAAAAACACCCAACAGACTCAATGATCTCATGAACACAAATCGCGTTCATTTATACATTATAGAAACGTTCCTTAGGAGAGTCAGAAAAATAGCAGACTAAAATAACACAGCAACCAATCACAGCCAAGGATCTTCCTGGTGGGAAATGTGATCTCAAGGTCAACTGATCGGCCCATCAAATATCTCCAAAATTACGACATTGATCGAGCGAGTTCTTGGGATCTAACGTCACCAACATAAAGCTTTTTAGTACTGAATGTTTTGTTTATTTTCTATCCAATGTATGAGAAAAATGTAACTAACTAAAATTTCAGTGTACATAATTGAAAAAAATAACTTTATTGATCAGTCTTATAAAAATTAGATCAAAGTTGTATATTATTCATTTGATTTAATAAAACATCTTCATGCACTGTACAGTTCAGCTTAAAATTATAAATTTCCTATAATTTCACTCAGTTTCCTGATTTTACTGGCTTATGAGTTCGAACCGCATTTAATTATCTTATCTAGAATCCTTTCTAGAATTTCATACACCTGAACAAAAAATATTACGAGACCTTGGTTCATTATGCTCGCTTTTATCCAAATACCATGTTTTTTGTCTGCTGATCATCTGGTTACATCGTTCCTGTCAATCAGATCCTACAAACAATTCAATTCCCCACATCATTCTATAATGAAAATATGCGTAATATCTCTGATAATTTACTTAAATTTTTCAAAGTTATTTAGTTAGGATTGAGTAACTGCTTAATTCCATGTTTTTCAAATTAACAAGTATACTTATGAATGTCAGTTCTAAGTAAATCTATACGAATAAATACTTTCATATTTGCTATCATGTAGAAATGAACAGTTGTATGCTTCGGTGCTAATTGAAAGTCATATGTCAAACTGTTAAAATAACCTCTGTTTTATAATTGCCAAATTGTTTTAAAGATTTGTAATAGGAAGTTAGATTAATGAATTATATTATTACCGGTTGAATCATGCATTTTGAAACCTAAAGAAAAAACAACAGTATTTAACAGTTAACACTTATAAAAATCAAGATTCAATATTTTATTTTGTTTTATCTTTGTTATACAACAATTCACCTTCTTATAATTAACTTGAAATAAAACTAACATTAGTTTGAACAAACTCAATATACTACTCCTTTATTGGATTATATAATATGATAGTACATAGAAGTGGTTTAAGATGAAATTATTGTTCTTAGTTGCAACGCTCTGTTTGTATATTTATCTACTAAATATTGGTAGGAAATTAGGCTCTTTTGCTTTCGATCGAATTTAGACGGTCAAGTAATGACCTTCAGCATTATAATATGTTTAGTAGTTCTGATTGGTCTTTGCTTACATTGGATAAATAAACTTTCTCTCATTGGTTCACTGAAAAAGTAGATTTTTTGTATTTTATTGGTCATCATTTCCTGACAGAAGTTTTATTAAACAGTAGCAATACAGAAGCAATAGAATAAAGCCTTACTTGCAACCGATGTAACAGTGAGATAAATCCTGTCAAAGACAAGTATACACAAATTTACCATACGTAACCAATGTCCTCATATTTCTTTGCTGGATCTTGGATACTACTAATAAATTTGACGTTGACTCATCAGCAAACTAGTAAGCAAATGAGATTTTATTAGCCTATATATATAATGTTTTGTAGCCCTTAAAACTATTTAATTCCCTTCCACCAAACTTAAGATAAATAATCGAGAATCTTCACTATTTACAGCTGTTGTATTGAATTACCAGAAAACACAGTGTAGCTGAAACAAATATGTATCTAATTTACTGAGAGTTTCGTATCAAGTTGTTAAGTCGTATAGTGCAGGAATGAGCTTAAAACAGCTTTGACGAAGTTTCAACAAGTTTTAGAACATATCAGTAAACAGCTCTTATAAATGGATAGCTTACGGGAAAAATATTGGGAAATAGAAACAAATTTTACAGACTATTTTCATTGCCTGTTATGGGCTAAAACCTAAAGACATTATTCTCAGTTTTAACCGGTTCATCTTTATACCATCATCTTACCGTTACGTGTTTGGCAAACAGTAACAGGAGAAATAGGAAAATTGAGAATGTCACAATAAATCGAAAATAGGTATAAACGATAGAGTATGTCAGGGTTGGACATATAAACATGCATTTGAGTTGTATACTTAAACTAGTTTACCATTCATTACTTTGAACATACTGAAGTTTTAAATTTTTAACTTGGTTGTAGAAATTGATATTTTTTTAAACCTCTGTTATTTGAAACAAATATTAGTTAGTTCAGTAGAGTATGGAAATAAATCAACTTAATTTTTGGAATTTTTAAAAGAAATATTTTGATAGTTTTAATAAAAATAAAGGAATACTTTTATTGATAACAAATAAATGCAGTGAGATAGTTATGGAAGATTGAATTTTTGTAATACCTAGCTTATGACAGCTGAACAGTTGGTTAAGTTCTAATAAAGTTATTCTTACTAAATTGTGGTTTCTCAGAGCTTCTCACTCGTTAGCCTATACAAAATTAAGAGAGCCTAGCTAGAGAAACTTTATTATTTGAATATAATGGTTAGTTTTAAACGACCTTATGACTAATCTTACTATCGGATTAGCTGGTTTTGTCATAAAGATAATCACTGGCTAGTGTTTATTGGCTGTTTGGTTTTCTATCGTTTCAAATGACTCTTCAATAACATCAGTCTGTTTTGTTATGCCCCATTTAAATAATCAAAGTTAAACCTTCCATGCATTTTATGTATATCTCAGATACACTTTAACCTAAATTGGTAACTGGAGGTTACTTTTGAATCCAAGAATCGATAGTTGACTGATAACTTTAGTGAAGTATTGATTACAGTTTTTATCATCAGATTCACAATTGAATTTAAGGGAATGAAATAAAACGGGGCTTACGCTCGTTTTGTCTTTAATGAATAATTCAATATTGAACATACTGATCATTGAAAAGTATAAACCATGATGATCAAAGGGATCGATCAATAAATTTCTCAGTGATACCTCTTTATTATTCTTAAATAACAAATTCATCAAGTGTTTCTGATGTTTGGTACTGACAGCATAATATGATTGGTCATCAAGCATGGACAACACAGGCCATAGGCTACTGACTATTAAATATGTGGTCGCGTCGCATTTCATTGATTTCCACTATGGACTCACTGTGTAGGACTGCCTGTAATTGTATGAATTAAAATATTATATACTGCTTACTTTGGTTCTTCATTTTTGATCATGAATTAGACAAATAGTTAAGCATGATCTGGTGACTGTGTAGTGTACCGTTCGGGTGTCCACTTCAGTGGTGTTAAAAACTCAATCAGTAATTTGTCACTCTACAATAATATAATGAGTAAAAACATCAACGAATACTTCCATTATATCAGTTTCAACATTTTCAGTCAGCTTAAAAAAACAGAGGATTATTTTCAGTATGGTGGCATTTTTAAAGATATTAGCATTTTCATAGTTTAAATCATAAAGTGATTTTAGCTAGACTGTTATTAGGATACACTAACATTTTCCAAACATTAACTGCTTTAGTTCCCAACCACATACTGTTATATACTGTTGCAACAAGAACATCTTTTACATTCGCCTTCAGGTGTAACCAAAAGTCGAACAGCATAATATGAGTTAGAATGACATACATAAGCGAACAATATTATCTTCAATTAAATCTTCAACATCAGGCTTTACTCAAATATACATGGATATTTATATGCATATAGACAAATCCGTGGAGAAGTGATGTGTTCAGCTCAGTGGTTCTTCTTCTCTTCTCCTGAAGCTACAATCTAACGAAGATATAGCAAGTGACATACTTTGAGATAGACAAACTAGAGAAACAAAGTGGACATTTAATGCAATTTACATCTTCTGTCTGTCGTTCTATAGACGACCTGTGGTGATTCCGCAACTAAAGAGCAAGTTACCTGGTTTCGCGACATGTATGTGTACCTACGAGTCCATCTGCACCTATGAAGAAAGTACAATCAGATAGCTGAGCCAACTAGTCAGTGTAAATCTCCCTTCGTGGTTAGGAAAAGGCAAAATCAAAATAATACACAATTCAGTTCTACCACACTTGATCAAAAGCGGTCATATAGTAGATGGAAATAAATCATTAATGGTATATCTAATAGTTTTACTTCTCGGGTTCGATCTCGTCTTCTACATGTATCAAAAGCGGTTGCGATTCCAACTAACAATCCAAATCTCTGTGTTCAGAGGAAATTTGTAACACCTGCATCTCTTCCTTGGACGGATTAACTTAAATAGACAATTGAATTTATTTTCTAGTCATCATTATTTTCTATACTTCTTGTCTATTCGCTTAATTTTCTTCACCTTCCACTTTTTTCATTTTCAAATATACGTCTCATTATTCAATTGTTTGAACACTTCTCATTATGTAATTTACAATCTTAATGAATGTTATTTCACCATCTAGTTTTCAAAACCAGTTGACTTACTCCCTATCAGGTAACTTTGAATTAAGCTTTTATTATCTTTGTAACCAATACACCTGTCATCACACCATCGATTTGTACATTTTATTCCACTGTTATCACTGACTCATAAATTGCCTTCATCGGTTTAATAACTTCGAATATGCATTGAATTATTACTGTATATAGGAGTAAATTCTAATGAAGATCTGATTAAAAACAATATTGTCCGCCAATGTATATAAATTTCTTAAAATTAAACTGTTTATTGGAGAATACTGCGCAACGCAAAAGTGTGTTTACCACTACATGCAAAACGTGTAACCTATTCATAAAATAATCACTTTGTGTCAGGTCAACTTTGTATTCCTTCTAGATATTTGACAAATCTAGTTTTGTGTCAATGTTCCTGTTGATCTATTAGTTCTGATAATCCGATTTACAATAATCTCCTCATCATTTCAAGATTGTAGCGTACAAGGAGGGATTTTACGTCTTCTGATCACAAACATCAACTAATATCAGATTGAATTAGTTTCAACTGCAGGAATATTATTATTCAGATAAGTGGTGAGCACTTAGTTGAATTATGCTGCTAATTAGGTTTGCTTTCAGCCTGTCTCATGAACCGTAAAATGTAAAAGCTTTGACTAATTAATTATTTACAATGTTTTTGCGTTCCAGCTCAGTCAACTAGCCATCAAACTATTCATGTTCATCACAATAGTGTTTTGATTCCACACGAACAACAAGTTTACAGATATATCATGAAGGATTATGAAACGTCTGTAAGACCGTTGAAAAACATATCGGAAAAGTTAACCGTGAAGATAAGGATACGCCTACAACAAATCAGCGGTTTAGATGAACGTAATCAAGTGTTGACAACTATACTATTCATCGAACAGGTACGTGATTAGTCTCTTTGCTTTTCAATGAAATAGACTTTTTAAATGACTTGGAGCTTTTGCTCCCTTTTCCTCTTCTCATACAACTGGAGAATACCTAGAACTCAAAAGATTTGTCAGCAAGATCACTCTGATTTCGAATCATTTCTAATAATACGAAAATATCAACTAAAATTAACCTTTTTAAATGGTTCACATTGCAAAAACAAAAAATTTGACTGTCTTTTTAACAGAATTATGTACCTTGTTGAAATGGATTTTTGGCATGGTGAAAGAGCAATAATATACAATGTATCTACGGCTCAATATCTGTTTAGCTATCAGCAAACTCTTATGAGGCAGAGATGATCTGTGTAGACAGGAACTGGTTTAAAACAAACTTGTTAGTAAGTAATAAACGTACGACAACTAAGTTGTATCACTGGACATATGATAGATACCATAATGATAGATTTAATGCTTCAAAAAATCTTTCATAGTTAAGTTTGCGCTTTCAAAACTAGATACCAAACTAATATTAGCTTTTGATTTTGAAGGTTACTTATCAATTTTATGAATCAGAAAGCTATTAAGAAACATCAGTAAAAAGTAATACAAACTGTTATTCAATTCGCCACATGGAAAATGAAATACTATATTTGAAAATGTAATTAAACTGAACTATTTAGTTGAGTGTATTATTTTATAGATATGGGAAGATGAATATTTAAAATGGAATGAATCGGAATTTGGTAATGTGAGAACTTTACGCATACCTGCCAGGCAGGTTTGGACTCCAGATACTTATGTATTTAATAAGTAAGTGATCAAATTTCTCTCCTATATATTCTTTGTCATAGATCATTTTTTTTACGCAGCAGAGGTTTTGATGCAGGTGCTATTAATGAGAAATAATTTATAGGTGTTGCAATTTATAAATCATTAAATCGATTTAGTAACTTATATTGAATTCATGAATCAGTCATCGTTAAACCACGACCAGAAAGCTGGAAAAACTGGACTGCTGTTTCGTTCTAGCGTGGCACTTTTCAGAAATGTGATTCCACGACCCGCTCTCACGGCAGTCCAACAAAGCTCTTTCACTTCCGTGCGTCAACGCTGAACTTTTAGAACACTGACCCGGTAGATCAGCACTCGACGGTGTTCATGTCTCACTTTGACCAATATAAAGATTTTTTCAACCTTAACCACTGTCTTCGGTAGTTACTGCCTACACCCGACACAGTCCAACCCCACTGGTCACGGCTTCTCACTAGAAATCCCAGAATTTCCTTACCAAACTAGTCACTTGTGAAGTACATTTTATGATTTTTCATAATAGAGTTATGAAGATCGTTGCTTCACATTGTGTAAGGTCCTGAGTTCTAATCCTGTGAGTAGCAGGAGTCGTGAATGCGCACAGCTAATGAGTTCTATGACATGGACAAAACTACCATCCAATGCTTCCATGTTTCGAATGGTGGTCTAACAATGATTGATTGACGATTTCAGTAATAAATAATGTATCAGCCGAACTGATGAAATGTTCTGTCTTATTTTATCCACAAAACTCAACCTTTTCGCTGCATGAGAGAAGCGGATATAGAAATATTCATAACCTTGAGCATCTTTGTGACATCTTTGATTGAAAATCAAATCTTTGAACAGTTATTACGTTCTAACGTAAATTTAGTGAAAAGGTTTCAAGTAGCTTTGAATATGGACATATATATATATATATATATATATATATATATATATATATATATATGTAGGGAGTTTTAAAGTAGTAACCCATTGAATTCCGATTAGCACCAGTAATAACAAATTGTACTTATTAACGAGTAATTTATCTTTTCATTTTTAGTGCTGATCATACAAATTCTGGATTTTTAGAAGGTATCTATGTTTTAGTTCATAGTTCTGGTAAAATATCATGGCCAATTCCAGTTCAATTGAAAACATCTTGTAAAGTTGACATAACATTATTTCCCTTTGATCAACAATATTGTGAAATACAATTTGGATCATGGATGTATAAATCTGATTGGATTCAATATGAATTTCAAATTAATGAACAGAACAATTCAAAAACAATTAAAAATTGGAAATATTCAACAGAGTCATTGCCTTCTTTTGAATCATTATTTGTAAATAATTCTAATCCATATTTAAGTGTTGAGAAATTGGTTCCTAATGAAATTGAACAAAATGCTATTGACAATGATGATAATAATTTGGAAGATTATTTAACTAGAAATGCATTAGACACCACATCTTATTGGGATAGTACAGATTGGATGTTGAAACAAGCTGTATTATCATATACTTATCGGTCTACTGATCTCCTGACTGCATGGAAACCAATAACAAGTATATTTAATATAAAATTTTGTGATAATCAAATGAATACTAGACAAACGGATTTAGTATTGAAATTGTTTTTACAAAGAAGAAGTTTTTTCTACATTTGGAATATTGTTGTACCATGTATATTATTAACATTGCTTACATTGTTCACATTTTGGACACCAATTGATTCAGGTGAAAAAGTCACGTTAGGTTTATCGGTATTTTTAGCTTTTTCAATGTTTATGATGTTGATAGCTGAACGTGTACCTCCAACAGCTAAAAATATTCCACTTATCGGTGAGTAAGATTTATTTATTTATTATTCATTTATAATTCTTTTTTTTTAAAGTTTCATTCTTTGCAAAAAACATCCTCTCATCGATTCAACTGTCATGGAAGTCTAGGTTGGATATTAAGCACTTAACGAACTAAATAGACAGATGTTACTTAGGTAAAAAGAAACGTTAAAAATTCTGAATGGACCATATTGTAATTAATGCTTCTTCATCTGTGATAACCAATGTAAAGTGTTAGCTCTGCTACTCAAATGGTCTTACCTCCGGAGACGGAAATCCGTGAGGCAAAGCGAACTATGACATCTTCGGGATCAACCATTCCTAAGCGCTTCCTTCTGTTGTGACAATGCAGCGCCACTGCAGATGCTGGTTGTCCCAAGGTAATACCTTGCTGTTGTCACACTCCTCTACAGTCAGAAGTACGACTTCGTACTCCGACCCTTAGTTTCCGCTTTTAGTCTTACCGTTCTTCAGTCGAACTGCCTGGCATAGTATGACCTAAAGGAACATATGTTCCAGCCAATTTAGCTTGGTTGGAGGACCACGATCGATAAACCAGACCACCAGGTCAAGGTAGCAGCTACGGTCGGGTTCCAAGCCAAAATCACCACCTTAAAAATCATTTGTCTGCAAAACAAGAATATTCCTGGCTCTATTCTTCCATATATCTTCTATTCTTCAAAACACTGACTGTGTCGTGCGTCATCCGTAAATTCATGCTGATGCCTGACCGCATACTACTTATAAGCTTCGTTGCAAGTTATACACTTCGCACAATATTCTGTAACTTCGATATTCATATCCACCCCAAAACTAATGTGAAAGTTTGAATTTCCCACCACAGTGTATCTCTGACGGTAATCAGCTGCCTATGGAAATTCAATTTTTTTGTGTATGAAATTGTATTTTTGTGTATCGTTGTTTCCCTACAATTCGAAAAATAAAACAAGTATTTCTAATTGCCCAATAAAGCCGGCTTTTAGAATAGTAAGAAATGTCAATGCCAAGGAAACGGCATTTCACAAGATTCCTTAAACACTCATGTTGTTTCACATGTCTATATCGAATAATGAGACGGAGAATATGTTTCCAGAAATGTTAGGTAATGTTGAATTTCCAGCTGTGAACTTATTCAGACAATTCGCTGGTTTTTGGCCATGTTATTAAACGATTTCCAATAGCGATTATCTTAAATTTGCTTTCTTTCTGTAAATTTAGTTCTTTTACAGAAAATGAGTTGAATAAAACATTCCGTTCAAATTATTTTATTGTTAGATATTTAACAAAAATATATCTATATTATGTCATTAAATTAGGAATATGTAAGTATTTAACACGTCATTCCTAAGTTTTATGAGTAAAAATACTTTATCACCGATTCATGATGTACAATTATTCACAATATTACATTGATTTCCATTAGGGTGAATCTTTTCAGATTTTGACCTACACGATTAGAACAGTTTCATTGGGTAAACAGTTTTTACAGCATGAGAAAACAAGCACATACTCAACCACATTTTAGGTAAATTTTGAAGTGGCAGAAAAATTGTCTAGTTTAACATGTCCATTATTACGTCTAAACCTGAAACCTATAGTGTTATAACTAATCATCGGGTTAGAATTCCAATGTAACTAGGAACACTGGAATGAAAATACATCTATATATATATATATATATATGTATATATTTCAATTTCGTTATAATTTGTGTAATTTTCTACTAAGCTAATTAATGATCACGATATCTATCCTAATTATTACGTAGTTGTCTCATACTTTCCAATCAACTGTTTATCAAAAAATTGATAAACATATCATGAATAGCCTTTTCGATGGAATAAGTTAATTTATGAAATCAGTTGAGAGTTTCTGAAATGCATGAGTTGTAAATTTTATGATTGGAATCAAAAACTTGTGAAAATTCATGAATTTTAATCTATCCGATTGCAATAATTATTTACTTAATTATTTACGTCTGTTGCCCCCAATGAAGCATAGGTCACAAACCAGTATTCTCTAGCCTACTCTGTTCTGGGAGTCTCTTTCCAGTTCTGTTCAAACTTTGTTCGTTCTTCTCATGTCTGCCTCCATTTCTTGGGATAGTGTAATCATTGGGCTTCCTCTTTTCTTTTGACCTTGAGGGCTCCAAGTGAGGGTTTGTCTTGTGGTACATTTGGGTGCTTTCCTCAATGTGTATCCGATCAACTTCCACCGCTTCTTCCTAATTTCTTCCTCTGCTGGAATCCGGTTTGTTCTCTCCAACAGTAAGTTGTTGCTGATGGTGTCTGACCAACGGACCCGAAGTATTTTGCATAGACAACTGTTAATAAGCACTTGTACCTTCCTGACGATAGCTTTCGTGATTGCAATAATAATAATTACAACAATAATAATTGAAGTAATGATAAGAAGATAATTTTTAAAACTGGGTATATTCAGGACTCCTTTACATGACATGTTAACATGTCAGATTGACAAACATTTCCTTAAGGTTCGTCGGTAGAAGTCGGAAAATAAAACCATTATGCTTTTATCTTCAACTAAGTGTAAACTACCATGATACTACTCTCATTCGTTATGTAACGGCACATTTTTAATATTTCGCAATCAAAAAGGAAAAGGGAGGAACAATAAGTTATTTAGTTCCGGCTATGTTCATAACCAAGGTAGAGAAACGGATTGATTAGGCATTCATTCAGATTGCTCACTCTACCATTTTTACTTAAGACATACTCTAACTCACTTAAGGAACTTCGCACAAAATAAAAACAGATAGGTTAATTTCGAAGCAGAAACAGGTTAATATGACTCACGATAGTTGATTCACGGTAATGCAGGTATCATCAATGCAACAGTAAAAAATTCAAGCTGGTCTATTGCCTCCTCGACAAATACATTTTGAAGTGTTGCAAGAAAGAAATCAGCAGAGAAAGAACCCCAAAGATGAATTCATCACTGTTCCATCGATTTGTCTATATGCATATAAATATTCATGTATATTTGAGAAAAGCCTGATGATGAAGATCTAATTGGAAACAATATTGTTCACTTATGATTGTCATTCTAACTCACAATAAGCTATCTGGCTTTTGGTTACATTTAAAGACAAATGTAAATGATGTTCCTGTTTAATCAGTGTATAACAATACGTGATTGGAAAGGAAATCAATTAATGTTTGGAAAATGTCAGTGTATGTATGACGTTTCAAAATATCTCAAACAAGTCATGGAAACTATTTGAAGTACGTGTTTATAACACGAGAGAATTATGTGATCAATGAATTAACATTGAAGTCACATGCTGCATACGCGTATGAGTCGAAGTTTTTACTCATTCTTTCACAGTTCTCGAGGTCTACTAATTGTCTTTTATTTAGTTGATACTGTCATACTTCTTAACCAATGATTTCACTGATAGTTCAAAGTATAGAATTGCGGAATTGTCGTATTTATATTCAAACATCTTTCTCCAAAATATATTTCTACAAGGAATTTGTGACATTTTGATTGTATTTATTTAGGAGTATATATGACCTCTGTAATGTCGATAACAGTTGGGTCTGTTGTTGTATGTGTAATTGTTATTAATTTGGATGCCAGAGGTGAAAAGTTATCACGTGCACCGAAATGGCTACGTCGTATCTCAAAATTGGGAATATTTAAATTATTCTACAAGGAAAATTGTTATGATGTAAATGAATCAGCAGGTTTGTCATCGATAGTAAGTTATGATGTTGCATTTCATAACATGTACAATTAACTTTGATAGTATTATTTGCTTAAAACTAATCGATAAAGGTGAAGAGTGACATAATTCTTGTTATCTTCACTTAACCTAGTCCACTTAGTGCATTTGTCAAATGTATGAACATATAAGAAAATGAGTGTGGTGATTATTGACCAATAAATTATTACTATTATCTCATTCTCGTAACTTGATCAGTACGTGTGAACTGGCTCCAAGAGTTAGACAAACACAAGTGATCAACTTTTAACAAAGCTAATTATTCGATTATAGTGGAAGCCAGGTCGCGTATTTCGTTGTATTTTGGACATATCGGTTGGATGTGACAGTATTCCTTTATTCATGTTCAGTAGAGTAGGTAAACCCCGTGTCTTTAGTGAGAAAATGTACGTGTCAGAATGCCAATAAGTGAGAAAAGACTGATCAACTATCATGCATAACATCAGCTATTGTAAGGTTCAGACTTTAACCACTGAATTATATGTGACCATTTTCTTTGAAATAGTGTATTCAATACACTGACGAATAAAAAACACATGATCACAGCATTTGATTGACTAAGGCGGCGATTTTAATCATGTTCCACAAAACCTAATAGTTAAATGTGAACTAGTGCTGTAATAGTGATTATTTTGTGATGAAGTTACTTGATTCAGTTAGTAGACATGTGATTCAATAAATGCGGTTTTACATTTCAGTCAGATCATTTATACATATGAAGTTCGATGGATGTAAGATATACTTAAAAATTAAGAATTCCTTGACGAAATGAACTAGTGTGATGTTAGAAACCAAATATGATGTAGATGTTCTATTCATTTATCCAATAATGAAACAATCGATAACATGAAATGAAGTGAAAATTTTACTTTGTTCAAAAAAATATTTTACCACATTTTTTCTCTCTACTTTAGATAGGAAAACTATTGACCTCAAATTTAAATCAAGAAAAGAAACTATTAGAAATCGATCATCAGATCTCAGCTCTTTCCAAGTTAAATCATTTGCTTGACAAAAACAAAATGTAAACCGAAGAAATTCGATCAATCTGCCAGAATTATTTTTCTCGACCATATTTAAAAGAAGAATTTTCATCGAATACAACTCCTTCTAGTCCTCCTGTCTATCATCATAACATTATTGTTAAAAAATCCTTAAATCATTCAAATCCAGTTCATTGCCATCCAATATTAACAGCGTCAAAAATAAATTCAGCATCAGCTGTTCCTATTCCAATAATAAACCGTACTGAATTAAATCATCCAATTGTTGAAGGGTATAAATTTTGTAATTCTATGGAACAGAATTATTCATCAAAACATTATCTACCATCTGCAATACTTTGTGATTCAAATGAACTATTGAATAATCGTAGTGATAATAATAATAACAATAATAATAAAGATTTAAATACAACTCTTTCCAATATTTATGATTTATCTAGTGTAAATAAATGGAATTTCACCAATCAAGTAAATACTACTACTACTACTACTACTACTACTAGACATGAACTAATCAAATACGAATGGAAAGTGATCGCTAAAATTACCGATCGATTATTATTTGTTTGCTTTGTTTTAATCACCATCATTTGTTATGTAGCCATTTTTGTATGGCCTTTATTAGCTGGTTCAAGCATGCTCTATCGAAAAAATCATTGATTAGTTCACAGAGTGATTGTAAATTTCTACTCGGATTCATATAGAATTAATTGGTTGGAACAATGACTTTTCCCAAAATGCTGACCATAACATTGATTTCCCTATTCAACTTAAATATTGAACATTGAATTCCATCAAATAATCAGTTTATCTTGTTGAGTAATCGTGTTTTTTTTCAATTTTTTCTATGAATTAAACGCTACGAAATTATTATTATTATTATGATTTAAATATTCATGCAAAAATCTAATTTCTGTTCGAAAAAATGAATTTCAGTATGATTTTGATGAACTGTTCATCTTTCCCAATAATATCTGTAATTTTAAACAAAATATTCAGACATTAATGTTTACAGTTTAAACTCATTTGTTGAAATAAATATCAACTACTTTCTTATTATTACTATTACTATTATTAACTTTAGGTTGCCGTCTACAGAAAATAGTGAATAAAACAGTCGGACATATTGAATTCTCATCCACTATTTAAATCATCACTAATCGATATTTTCTTGCTATTTAGAATTAGGGAAAAATGTTTAATTATTCCTTATTTTTATCGTATTTCATTTTAAGTTGTACATTTTACTTAGTGTTTTATTGACTAAAAACAGGAAAAAACAAATCATGTAACAAACATTTCTATTTATTTTTTGAAATTATTTTTTTTCAGGCGAAACTACAGATTTAGGAATATGTTAACTACCTAAAACAACGATGCTAAAAGTCAAAGACATATTCAGAATTTTAAATAGTTACTTGACCATACGACTCACTCACACATTCACTCATTTGAAATAAAACCAATTTTTTTAAGTCTGCTTATAAAAATCAAATAATTATCCGAGACAAGTATTGCTATTTGAAAGTCGATAAAAAAATATTTATTTGTTTAAGCTGACGAAACATTAATCTGTCTGATCAGTTTATGTCGAATTCAAACGAGATAGAAAAAGAATACTACACTACAGCTAATTGTTTATAAACAAATAATCACAAATTTTAACGAATGAAATATTATTTATTTGACAATTAACTGCCTAAAAGTATATTCAGAAGCCAGAAACATGTTCTAAAAAATGCATTTAGAGTTTATAAGCAAACGATATTCTATTAATTTGTCAATTAATCTTAATATCCATCCTTTAATCGATTTTATTTATCGGTAGTTTTCAAATACTTCAGAGCTTAAGCGAACTTCACACAAACTAACCCTTATTAATACGTTTTTTGTGTGAAAAATAAGTGTGATCTTCGGGTAGTGTTATCTTTTCTTAATTGCTTCGCCACTTTATTTCAGAAAAATGCTACTACAGGAGTATAAAAGCTTGATAATTACGAAGTTTTCTTACTACGTCATTTAGGCTTTCAGTGAATAAAGATTAGACCAACGTTTTTTGAGTGGAGATTTTGTGAATTTAATTGACTGATGGATGACATTTTTATAAAGATTTCTCAGTTGTTTGGTGGCAGTAGATATCTGCAGCTTTTATAATTTTATTGTGCCAATATGTAGCGTGATAGTTTGAGTGAGTAAACTTTGATGTGAGATTTTACAATGTCTTTTGGTCTATTCATGAACCAGGATTATGAGGAAGTCACTGAACAAATAAATAATAGTCCAGCACGACAAAACCCAAGTGTAAAAAAAATTTCAATGAAAATCAAAGCTTTACGTTAACACGATCAGCTAGACTTTTATGTATTTTGTTGGTACGTGTAAAGCATTGCCCATTTCGCAGATTTGTTTGAAAGAAAAAAATGACACAAGTTAAACAACACATATAATTTTCACAATGGGAATCTTTAAAAAACAAGTTAAACACTCTGACTGATTGACTTAC